GTCAAGATGTCCACCACATGAATAATGGATAATGAGGATATAGTACACATATAAACATTTGTATATAATAACATGGATTTATATATAAAAATCTCCTTATAGGGTCAGAGCAGACCTGAGGCAGCAAACTCCACAAGAACAGGACTGAGCCAGCAACCTGGGTGGGAGCAGGCCTGGGATGGAGAGCAGGAGCAGATCCAGATCAGGGACATTTTTGTGGAGGCAGGACTGAACCAGCCACCTGGGCCAAAACAGGTCTGAGACAGAAAACCCCACAGGAGCAGGTACAGGGGGGCAGCTGCTGAGCAAGTGGGCCAGAGATAGAGACCACTGTGCGTCCTGGTGTGAATCTGAGACCTTCGAAGGAGTAGACTTGAGCCAGGACCCCTGCAGGTCTGGGCATGAGTCTGGGACCTCTGAGGGAGTAGGCCTGAGCCAGGTCCTCTGTGGGTCTGGGCGCACCCAAGTCTGGGACCTCCGAAGGAGAAGATCAGAGCTAGAGACCTTTTCGGGACCAACCCCAAGCCAGGGACCTCCGCAGGAGCAGATCCAGACCAGGGACATTTAAAGAAACAGGTCTGAGCCAGCAGCCTAGACCAGAGCAGGCTTGAGACAGCAAACTCCACAGGAGTAGAGCAAACCCTGGGAGCACTGAGTGACTCCAGGAACACAGAGTGACCAACAGGATAACTAGAACTGTGGCACTGACTGTAGATGAGAAAAAAACATCTGAGCCTTGGATGATATGACACAAATCCAGAAATACAAACATCACATATTCTCACTCATGAGTGGATCTTATTATAGAATCCTTAGATTTGTATGTTGCATTTGGAGTATATGTATTATCCAGGAAACAAGAACGAGATCATTGGTGGGGAAGGAAAAGAAAGATCTTAAGGGAGTGGGCAAAGTAGAGCATAGGTGATGTAACTGGGAAAAGAGGAATACTGGGGAGGGATACTTACGTGGAGGGATGAGAGCGTAGGGCAAAGAAGGGGACAGAGGAGGGATAATAACACTGAGAATGTTTGAAAAAGTCATGTGTAAGCCTAAACACACACACACACACACACACATATATATATATATATACATATATGTTCATATAAAGAGTTTAATTAGTTACCTACATAAGGGGTTATGCTCATCCAGGAACCATGGGTTGCCAAATAAAACTCTCAATGCCAGGTGTAGGATACCTCCCCTTGAGTTGTTTCTCAGAGGTGTCCCAGTGACCCCCCAAAACAATATAAACTATGGTCATTGCTTTGGATTGCTCACCAGAACTTGATCCTAGGACCCTATTGCTGAAGACTCCACATGAAGGACATGGAGAAATCAAGCTGTTGGTGATCAGGAAACTTTCCCCCTGCCAGCTCGCTTTCATAGGACCAGGTTCGATGTAAGTTGTTGGGGGGGGGGGGGGCGGGAGGTCGTCATCAACAGTCTCACTCAGCTGTGAACCCTGTGAAATGTAAGAATGACTGATGACAAATCATGCCCATGAGGGCAATGGTGGCGTAGTGTTATGGTGATAACCAACTACTTTCAGGTAGAATGTAAAGCCCACTCCACAGGAGGAAATACATTCATGAATCTGTAAATACTGCCAAGAACCCATGTTTGGGAAAGCTCACAGGCCCCAGGGGAGAACCAATTACTTTCTGCTACCTGAACATAGATTCAAACTGTCCTCTTAATTGTCCTCTAAGACCTTGTAAGGAGTCTTTGTGCAGTGAATGTTGGTGAACATGGAAACTTGCAACTGGTCAAAGCACAGAGGACGAGTGTCAGGAGAGCACTTAGTTACTAACGGGACGCCTATATTAAATCCTCTCCCCAAGGCCCAGGGACTATCACAGAAGAGGGAAAGGAAGGATTAGAACAGCCAGAGGTCAGGAAGGACCAGAGCAAAGCAATGTCTCCTGGACAATGACAGGACCACTGCAGTCATGAGCTCACAGCAGCTGTGGCTGGCTGCATACGGCCTGCATGGATGTGATCAAGCCAGTCCACATCCGAGCATGGAGCAAGGAGGGTGTTATGATCCCCCACTGACACCTGAGTATCTAGGGATAGCTAATAGCTTCTGGGGGAGACAGTCAGTTTTCTTTAAGGGTATGGTTCCTGGCAGGTTGAGTACGCTCCAGTGGGTGGCCTCACGCCCAGAATTATATAGGCAGCACAAGCTGGAGGTGATAGCTAAGGAATAAAAGAGATAGCATGAAGTTGTGGGGTTGGGAGGCGGAAGTAGGCCTGGCAGGAGCTGGGGAGACGTGAACATGATCAAAACACACTGTGTGGAATTATCAAAGAATTAATAAAAATATTTTAGAGATATTCGGATTTTTAAGTATGTTCATTTATTTCTACTGGGAACAAATCAGAGCTGAACCAAACTAGACTGATGGTAATCCCATGATTATCTTAGCGTAGAGATTCATTTGTAATGGGAACCAAATTTCCTCAGTCAACGGTCCTCAGTCACTATCTGGTTGTATGGAGATTTTAGAGAGGACACAGCACCTGGGCACTAAATGAGTGATTTCATCCATGTCACACATGGAGGCATAGGGTCTTTCCAGAGTTTTATCAGTTAGGAAGCTCTATTTCACATACTTTGTAGTGACTTTTTCATTTATCTCAACTTGAGACAAATAATCTCTCTCTCGGCCTGATTTGAATACGTGTATTAACCAGCATCACCATCTTGGATTCCTCTTAACGTTTCCACCTGGCCATACCTCTAAAGTCATTGTAACGTTATGTCATTTGATTTAGTAGTTTGGTTATCCTGCATGTGTTGTTTTTCGGGCTCCAAACATTTTTTTTTTAATCCTAAGAATAAAAGTTCCTGTCCACAGAGAACAGAACTGGACCAAGATGCAAGACTCTACCAACTTCTTGAACTCTCCAATGCAAGCAGCCCTCTCAGGGCCTCCAGATACCCCCTGTGCTCCCCGCACACTCCTTCATGCAGTCAGGTCTCCAAATGTCCCCAGGCTCCACAGTGCACCCAGGTTTCCAATATTACCCATCTCCCTCAGGTGTACCATGCCTCCCATGGCTCCCCAGTCTTTCCATGATCCCTCATTGCCCTCCAACACTCAGATGGCAGTGGCAGGAACACAACCTGTCAGCAAGGAGCAACATCAGCTCAAAAAGCAATTGAAAAAGTATGAGTACCCAACCCATGATTTCTCCTGCCAGTAGCAGTTAGGATTAGCCAGACCGATCACCAGGTCCAGAGTTGGTCCAAGGATCTACATAGCTTCAGGCAGCATCTGCACTCACAGAAGATGAGATACTCTGAGTGGAATTGCTCTCACCTCAAAGAGTGCATGAGAATTTATTTTAGATTCAAGCATGAGTGGCCATGACAGGGAATACAGATTTAGTTCAACCCAAGTATCATGTTCCAGGACAGTAACAGTTTCGCTGAGTTTTCATAGGGGCAGAACAAAGAAAATCATACAGGAAGATACTTTGAATGCATTTGTGAGAACCCGTAGGTGAGTTGTGAAGCAGGGAAGTCTGCATATGCTAACTGGTGATTCTTAGCTTTGGAGATGATTGGAGGACTAGCTAGGTACATCCCCAAAAGATTTACCCACTAGTCACAGGATGGTAAGGCACACAGAGAGTTAGGCAATATATACTACTTAGTGGAGCAAGACAGCCCAGAATAATTTGGCTCCGAACCTGCAACTTTCCAACTCTTCGTAGTCACCGAAGTTCTGAGCCTGGTAGAAGGTAATGTACCGGGTACTTTTTCTCTGAGAACTTCACTTAACACTGGTGAAAGGAAGAAGACGGAATTTCCCTCCTTGACTCCCATCCCAACCTCAGAGTAATATGTAGCATTTCTGTATCTCAGGGGACCACCCTTAAGAGATAGCTGTCACCCAGAGCTGGAGAGATGGTTCAGGAGTTAGGAGCACCCATAGCTCTTGCAGAGGTAAATTCGGTTGCCAGCATCCATATCAAGGGGTTCACAGTCGCTTAGAACTCCAAGCTGCAAACTGGATTCTGCAGGCGGGCTCACCACACACACACCTGCAGGTATGTGCACACTCACACATACACATAAGTAAATAACAAAATAAATCTTTTTTAAAAAAAATGACAGCTGCCTCCCAGCACTTTGTTTGGGGCAGTTTACTGCATCAAAGGCTGTATATACTGAATCATTTTAGGGATGGGCCTCTGAACTGAGTATCCAGGGCAAGGTCGTGGAGATGAGAGTGGTTCCTCCTAGTATTGCATCATTCTGAATTCTGCTATATTGTATGCTGTCCTGGCATAGGAAGTTTTGATTTTATTTGTTTGTTTTATTGGACTGAGGGCTGAAGCTTGGGCCTCCTTGGATGCGAAATACCAAGTCCCCCCCCCCTTTTTTTTTTTTTTTACTTTTTGAGATAGGCTCTTAATATAGCTCAGGGTGGCCTTGAGCTCACTCTGTAGCCAAGCCAGACCTTAAATTTGCCACACTGCTGCTGGGATTACAAATCTGCACCACTAGGCGCTGTAGGAAGTATTAAGAATGCGTCTTGCCTGGTGTTGGGGCAGAGTCGTGCCTCCTTAAAGGCCTCCCGCTAAACTGAAGATGAATAAACCAGTTTGTAAATCAGAGCGCAGGGGGCGGGAATCTCAGCTAGCACCCTTCAGCTTCCCTTCGCCCACCCAAAAGCCCGACTGGAATGCCGCAGGGCCTGGTTTTACAGCCCAGGTCACCGAGGCAGTCAATTCAGTGCAGAGCTGAAGTACTGCGCCACCTCACGGAGTTCTTATGAAAGAGTTAAAAGACAAAGCGCCACGCACGTCCTAAGTGGCTTCATTTCTACCTTGATCAAGGACCCGCCAGCACGCGGCAAGATAAGAGAGAAGCGCGGAGAACCCGAAAAGTCTGCAAAAGGGTCGGGAGGCGGGAACCTGATTTGAGGAGGAGGGTACCAAGAGAGCAGCCAATCCCACGCTCCCCGGGAGGAAGAGGAGGAGCCAGGGCCCCAGGGCCCCCAGCTCTGCTCACTCCCGCGCGGCGCCGAGTCTGCAGTCTTCTCCCGGTTCAGCGTTCCCGCTCATAGACGACTCCCCTGGTGCAGACATGGCCTCGGGCGCCGCCTGTGCGCCGGTGAAGGTGAGATCACCCTACGAGCTGCAGACGGGCCCTCCCTGCCGGGTTCCCTCTCGCCCCTCCGCAGCGGCCGCGCCTCCCGGCTGTGTCCCCCAACCCGAACACCCCCAACCCCCGCACGGCGGCGGAGAGGCGCAGGGGCACGGCATTCGCCCCCAGCGCACTCCAGTGTCCCCCCAGCCTTTAGACTCATCTGCATCCCGGCCCCACGGTGGTAGCCGGTGGTCTGGTGGGGGGCGATGGGTGGGCTGCTCCCCGCTACCACCCTTCCTCAGTACCACTCCCCTCTGGAGATGCTCCAGGCGGGAGCTGACACGTGGCCCGGCTGCGGCTCTTGTCCCTTCTGCCTTGCGGGATTTGCGCTTCCGCTCTCTTGACTCGTCCCACGTGGGAGAGCTGTACACTTGCTCTTTTGCACGCGTCTGGCTCCCCACCCCCGCTCCAAACTTAGATTTCTCTTTGCTTTGTTTTACTCCGGTAGCGCAGAGCTGTGGGTGCTCCAAGACTTTCCTAAATACTGAAAAGGAGTGCAGACCTCGTGTTAGGGCCGCTCCCCCCCCCCCCCGGAGGCCTCCGTCTTTAAAACTGCTTTGCCACCACGCGAGTTCGAGCTATTTTCTGTAGCCTCGGGCCCCCAGAGAGCTTTACACAAGGGATTCTTGTATTCAGGGAACCGCTGGCCAGAAGAGAGTTCTGAGAGTTGCTGTGAGCCTCCCCTGGGTCTTTTAAATAAATCCTGACTGAAGAGTAGAGATTTGAAGTGGAACTGCAGAGAACAGGAAAACTGGTGGGAAAGGCTGAGTCCTTCCTAGGCTGTTTATTATTAGCCAATAACTCAGCTAACTTGGTGACTTTAGGAATTTCTGGCCGGTGGCACAGGAAGTGCACTGGTTTTTCCAGGCTTCGCTTGGATTCCCCGCAGCGCTGTTGGATTCTCTTGGAAGAAGCAAATCTCTGCAGTTAGGATGCAGCCAACCTGGGCTTGCAGGGCTCTGTGAACCACCCAGGAAGAGAGGAAGGCATTAGGATGCTGTGCTCAGACTTACTGGCCAACCTTTTTTTTGTTTCTCTTTTGCCATTTTGAAAAAGATTATGTACGTTTATAGAAAGCTTCCTGACAGCAGGAACTAAGCAGAAAGGGTCTTGTGCAAGGTACAGTCCACCACGTATTTATGAAGTGGGCATTTTACTGCAGTGGAGGCTGGGAAGGCTGGAATTCTGTCTGTATTGGGCATAGTTGAATTATTAAGAGTGCAGATAATTATTTCCAAAGGTATCATAGGCTTTACCCCTTTCCCTGAACTCCGTATTAGGAGGGGCCAGATGTAATCTTTTGACCTTGACTGAGGAAGGGGTTTCTTGGCACAGAATCCAAGAAACTTCACCGGGGTATGTATCTTTTCTTATTTTTTATTTTTTTTTTTTTTCATCTCTGACACACAATATGAGTAAAGCCAGAATGGCCGGTGCTTCTCACTCACTGAGCCCAGTCAGGGTGATACTATCCATGCAAGGGCGAGCATATCTCAACAGAAGGAATTCGCTTTAATCTGGTTAGTATTTTGTCTGACACACAGTTTCCCTGTAAAATGGATGTGGTACACTTAAGAGCAGAGAGAGCTATGTAAATATTGAATGATGTGTGTTTTTTTTTTAACTTGGCAAGCTTTTGAAATAAAACTTAAGAGATATAAATGGTGCTAGAAATGCCTGCTGATTGCTCTCCTTGAGACTGGAACAGGTGAGAATTCGTGATGCCCGCAGCATATTCTACAAATAGCTCAAGCAGCGTCTCGTCTAGAAAACATGAGGTGCCTGCATCCAGAGCAAAATAACCTATTAAAAAAGCATATGTTAAGGCCGGCGAGTGAGGTGCTCTGGGGAGCTTGCTACCAACTGTGAGAGAATGAGTTTGGATCCTCGGCACCCACATGGGGGCGAGGTGAGAAGGCTGGTTGCTGAGGCAAGTGTCTACAGTCCTGGCACTTAGAGAGGCAGACGTGGGCAGTCTCTTGGAACTTGCATACTGGCTGGCCTAGCCAAATTGATGAGATCCCAATTCAGTGAGAATGCCTGCTTCCCTGAAAGATGGATTACTGTTAACTGCGGGAGACACCATGTCAACCTCTGGCCTCCGTACACACATACATGTACGTGCACTTTCACACCAGACACGCGCGAACATGTGCATAACACCCCACACAAACGATTTTCTCTGCATATCATCTGGTAATAGTGTTCTTACAGATGTGGACCTGAGGCCCTGAAAGGTCAAGTGTCTGCTGGTACAGTGCCTGCACCCGAATCTACTGCAGGTTTAGCCAGGAACTGGGACTCTGCCGTCACTGGCCCGCCCCAGCAGGACTTTTATGACCCGCCGGATCCGCCTCCTGCTGCTGCCACCAAATGTAGTTTTTAACTAAATCTCTTTCATTCTATTTATCAGTAAGACTGAGGACTCAGAGGCTGGGATGAAAGCCTGCTGGCTCAGGGATGTTGAAGAATGAGCCCTTCCCTCTTTGGTAGTATCTCTGAAATAGTGTCCTTCAGTTCTGCCTCGAAGTCCCTCCCTACTACTTCCTGTGCACTTCTCCATCTTCCGGACTCCCTCTGACTTTCTGTCAGCTAGTTGCTGGCTCTGCCTCCTAACCCAAGGTTGATTTTATTTAATTAATGCAAAGTTAATTTTATTTAATTAATGCAAAGGCAAACCCAGGGTTCACAGTGTGATCGAATATCCCACAACAAAACCAGGCCTAGCTAACAACAGACCCAAAATCTGACCTTCTCATCAAGTAGATGTGAGACAGTTCTCAGACTTGAAACATTGTCTTTGTTGCTCTACTGTGTGGGTGAAGAGGGCACTCTACCTTAGGAAACAGAGAGCATGGGCTGCGTGTCTACAAAGGCCACCTCCGCAAAAACCGCTGAGCATTCTCCAAGTGCGGGTGTAGGAGGCACGTTTGTCCCTGGCTGGTGGCGTGCTGCCTGACTCACTGGGCCATTTCGTCTGTTACCGAGAAGCAACAGTTGGATTAGGTACAGCCGTAGGAGTATTCTCACATCTGTGTTGAGGGCCAAAAAAAAGAAACGGGAGCTGAAGAGATCCAGCCTCCCATTCCAGTACCTCCCTCTGTCAGCGGTGTGGTCTCTTAGAGCTGATCACACCTACTTTAAGAGTTGCTAGGTTTAAATACAAGAGCGTGTCGCACACCCAGCCAGTTCTTGTATCATTATTGCCAGCCCTGGGACCTTCTTTTGTAAAATGGAAATATTACCCTCGGTTTAAGAGATTAGAGCGTGTAGACGGAAAGCCGCTGGTTTTGTATGGGTAGTATAATGTTCAGTGCCTCTGTGAAACCTAGCTGTCTACTAGCAGAATCCTACCCACAAATACTTCATTGAAAACCTGCCAAGCCCTGAGAAGAAGGCATATTTGAGTGAAACAATGTTTCTAAGTGTGTCTTGTCTTGTGGCTGGGAGATTGATAGGAGGGAGCTAGTAAGAGTCATGGAAGAGGACCAAAACGGCCTTTAGGGCGTGGTGTTTAAGCTCTGCCGTTACTATGGTTGTCTGAGGAGATGGGGTGGTTGGAGACGATTAAGTCATGATCATAGAGCTTCCCGGATAGCAGCAGCATCATTGTGAAAGGCATCAAGCTTTTAGGACCACATGGTTCTGCCATAGAGTTCTCCCAGGCTCTGAATTGACCTCAGGGTCTGCAGATGGTGAGATGGAAGTTTCTAAGTCTGATTATTATAATGGCAACTTGAACACACTGAAGACAGGCCCGTAGTTGAAATGGTGATAAAGAACCTGAGGTTGTGGTGGCTAGCCAGGTCTTGGGGAAGGTCTGAGGAAGAACTCGGCATGGTGGCCTCGAAATAGAAACCCTGCTCTTGTGATTATGAGGATTCTCTGGGTGTGGGCCTTCGGGATCTAAACCATGATAAAGAATTTGGATTTACAATTGCCTTTAAACCCAGCACCCCAAGGCAGAGGCCAGCACAGGCAGATCTCTGAGTTGGAAGTCAGCCTGGTCTGCATACTGAGTTCCCGCCCAACCTTGGCTGCTTAGTAAGACCTTCTTCCAAAATAAAAGAAGAATTCAGATTTGATCCTAAATGCTGTGGAAGCCACTTAAGGACTCTGAGGAGAGTGGTAGCATCTGGTTTATATCTTGAAGTGGTTGCCTGGCTGCTTCGTACAGAATGGCCTGTATTGGACCAGGGACTACATCTGGCCACGAGCCATGGCCCTTCTGCTCCAGTCTCAGCTGGCAGCCATAGAAGTGGCGAGGCTCTGCAGGCAGAATGGAGGTGCAATGTGGGGAGAATAGCAAGAGGGAGAGGGTGGCTTCTGTGTCTGACTTCCAGCCCCAAAGGTGCTGAGGAATCAAACAAAAGCAGGGAGAGTAATTTCAATATTCCTCCTACTGACCTTTCTGATCAGGGTTAAAGCAAGGGCTATGAGGGGCCTCTTTACCCTGGTGACAGGGTAGCTGCTGGGGCATCCAGGTTTGGGGAGGGTAGAAAATAATGGAGACTGTCTTAATGGTCCCTCCATGTCTTAATGCCCCGTGAAGCCGCCCTAGACAATAGCTGCCTTTGTGTAAGACTTTAGGGGAACATTGTCCATCTTCAGCCCTGTGCTGGTGGAATGCTTGACTGTACGGAAGGCAAAGCAGATCTTTGTGGGGGGGGGGGGGGGGGCTGGAGAGCTGCTTTGGTGATCTGTAATGCCTCTGGCTAGGTTCCACTCCGGGAGATTAGGGAATAACGTTAATCGCAGTGGAGGGGTGGAGAGAGAATATGCCCCCCCCCCTGGAGATCACTAGTGGGCTTCAGACAGTGATACCAAGTCAAGTGTCCTAGGTTGGAAGATGGCCGTTAAACCTCTCCTTTGAGCCGTCCCGAGCGTGGGTGGCACAGTTCTGTCCTAAGCTCTGCAGCACACAGAATACATCCTCACCCCCTCCCCACAAAGTGCCAATGCTGTGTCCT